AACTTTTCATTTCATTATCAGGAAAGACTAAATTATTAACTAATTAAATAGTCTAAAGTAAGCAGATGTTTCAAAATATCATATCAGTTTTTGTCTCTCTACCATTCAATCTGTCTTATCATAATGTGATGATAATTATCACGCAAATTCATTTCTCTACTGAAATAACAATACTGCTTGAATGAAATAAACATTCAGCGCATTGGAATTGCTATAGTTAGGTGATTGCTGTGTGTCAAATAAAATGAGCACGAAAATTTGTTTTTAATTTACTTAAGTTATGAAACGAATCATATCATATAGTATGTAATTGCAATCATAAAGTTAATTAAATTATTTTCTCATCAATTAAAATTTGTTCACTCCATAAGACTATGAATCGATTTTTTTTTTTGGTCATAACTATTTATTTAAAAAAAAAATTATTATAACCGTTTTCGGGTTATCATTATAGAATCATGATAACCATAAATTAAATTTTTCCATAACGTACGAGGTGAATCAATAATAACGCAGTTGTCAACAGCTTTATCATTGCTTGCTGACACGTGATTATCAGTTGGATGGTGCTGCTGTTGCTGCTGTTTTTGTTGTTGTTGTTGCTGTTGTTGCGGTTGTTGTTGTTGTTGTTGTTGTTGCGGTTGTTGTTGTTGTTGTTTTTGCGAATGATTATGACTAGTACTAGGCCTTTCAGCTAATGTTTCATCAAATTCCTCATCACATTGTAAATCGAGTGGTTTAATACTATCCTGCTGTTGTTGTTGTTGTTGTTGTTGTTGCACGGTTTCCATTATTGATGATAACGGCGATTTCAGAGTTTCCACTACAGTTACCGTTGTACCTATTGTTTTCATCCTGTTCGTATAGGAATAACAATAATATTTTTAATATGCATAAAAACTTTATTGATTAAAAAAAAAAACGAAATATAAATGGTTCGATTACATTTTACATGCATACGTGGAACAATTTTTTGTCCAACTCACACAAGGTGAATATATTAATTCAAACTTTACTCGAAAAAAAAAATTAATTTAAAACAAATTATCAATTTTTTAGAAATGATTATGCGTATATATATGAATCTATTGATGATTAATTCCTGGATAAAACTTTCAATTTAATATAATCATCCACCACCGATCATAAATAAATGATAACGTTAAGTTATTCGTATAGTGTTCGAGATAATTTTATAGGTCAACCGAATTATTTCAATTATTTTTGTAGTTTATTTATTGAATACTTCATCTTAATTAAGCCATCAAATCAGAAACCGGTCTGCCATAGAAAAGTAAATATACTATCATAACCGGATCACTGATCTGTAATGTATGTTTATATGTGAATGTCTGTAATGTATCATTATATACATGTGTGTGTGTGTGTGTGTGTGTGTCTATATGAAAATGTAATTAAAAGTTAAATGTATAATTTTGAGCAAAAGTATACCTCATTAATTTCAATGCTTTTTCTTAAGTGCTCAAGCAAAAAAAAGGGAAGGAAATGAACCACAATCACAGGTTATGGACATAAATTAAAGCCTTGAGGTGTTGGTATTGGGGTTGTGATCGAAATCGGTTTTAAAATTAAAATAAATGAATGGAAAAAAAGGAAGTCTGAAAATTATATTTCGTCATTTTACACAATATTATATAAGTTCATTTTGTATATTAAAATGAATTAAATCCCGAAGAAAACTATTGACATTCATTTCCCCGTTGGTAAGAAAGTGCTAAAAGATTGGAAGAATTTTTCTCAAATAACTTTCCCACTTTCTTTTTCTGTAATAATTTACTCTCTTTTTTTCTTGTTCAATTAAAATATCATTTTTTTTTTCATGTTTTCAATTAAATCGAATGAAAGAAATCGAATAATTAACATGCATGGAATTGTATACAATAATCTGACTTGAAATCGGAACATAATTTTTTTTTTCAATCCAATTTAATTCTATTCCGAAAAATTTGATTGTAAAAATTCACTCCTTAAATCATATTCAAGAAAATTCAAATATGTTATAAAAATTATTCCATTGGTAGAATAATTAAATTTAACTAATGAATCAAATGAGTGTGAAGGAATATATCGACATATCAATCATATATCGATTAAATTAAACTGATGATTCAATTGACACATTCGTGCATACCCATCCCATACTGATCAAATTAGTGTGGAACAATATATCAATATGATATCGAATCGATCAATCAATCAATCACTTACCATTTTACAAATTAGCATATAAAAAACATACAAAAAAACATAGAAGTCAACTATAAAGGTTTGAAAGTATATTGACAACTAAAAAATTTAATAACAATGTAAAAATATTTGGAAGTTAAAGCGATTTAGTAAACTTCGATTACTATTCTTTTTTTTTTCATTAAATTGAATTGATATGAAAATATTATCCGGACTTTAAATCGTTATACCTGAATGACTATTAATTAATCATTTAATCATTTAAACGTTGCAAAAACAAATTGGTATAATTCAAAAATGAGAAAAAATCGGTGGAAGTTTATGGGATGGGTTGGTTCATTCAGTTTCGTTCAAAATGCTGTCATCATTATCGAGAGGGAGAGAGAGAGAGAGAGAAGGAGGGAGAGGAATAGGAGAGGCGGGATGGAGGGGGAGGGGGAGGAAGGGAGTAGAGAGAAGGAGAGGAAGAAATACGGGTGGGTAAATGGGAAAGGGAAAATTGTGGGTAGAAAGAGAGAAAAGAGAAGGCACGGGTAGTGATGTAAAGGCGGAGAAGAGATGTGGAAGGGGAGTGGGAGGGATGTTTTGTGAGTCGATCGTTGTCCCACCCTTCTCCCTCCCATTTCTGGTGACACTTCTCTCCCCATAGGTCGCTTCTCATGCAATTGGTACCTCAAGCTCTACCCTAACCCTAACCCGAACCCTAACCCTCACCCTTACCCTAATCCCAACTCTAGCCCTAACTCCAACCTTTGTTCTAACCCTTACCCTAACCGTTACCATTTACCCTTACTTTTATCCTAATCCTTATCCTTACCCTCACCTTTACCTTATCATTTACTTTTTGATTAGCAAGGTGACACAATACCTCCCGCTCTCCTCTCTCGGTCTTCTACTTCTCTAGGAAATATTCAAGCAAACATCTCCTCCTCCTCCTTCTGCTCCTCCTTCTCCTCTTCCTCTTCCTCTTCCTCTTCCTCTTGCTCCTCCTCCCAGCAAATGTTGTGAGAGAAGGAGGAAAGGGGAAAGGAAATAGAGGGGTCGGTGGGATGTAACGATGAAAGCAACGATGACGAATCGATCACTATGTAGGGGGAAAGGAAAAAGCAAGAAAGGAGGGGAGGGGACGACGGTTGTAAATCCTTCTCCTCTTCCCTTTCCCTCCTACGCCCCCTTTCCTCCTCTCTCCTACACCCCTTCTCTCCTCTCTCATATCCTCTCTCTTATTCCCTCTCTCCCCTTCACGATATGTTAAGTATGATATGTGTATATGCAAAATGATTTTAAATCATAAAATGTTTGAGAGAAGAGTTCTCGACATTCCTCTCTCAAACATAAAACGGAAAGAAGAAATGAAAGATAAAATTATTTTACTTCCAATCTGATTTGATGCTTTTTTTTTGTTGCTTCAAATGGTGGCGGATTTATAAATTATGAACTATTAGCAATATTTCGAAATATGATGATGATAACCGATAAGACGGAAAACAATACATATTTATTGAAATTGATAAGTATTAACAGATATAATATTAAAGTAAAATGGAAATGATTTAATCATATACGGTGTATAATTAATTAACACGTTCAAAATATCTAAAATAGAAGCGTTATTGTTCATATTTAAATAATGTCACCTCTCTCATTCATTCATTCATTCATTCATTCATTTGTCGTTTCAAGCAGTAATATTCCTGAAAACAGGAAAAAAAATTGTGGTAATCGATAATTGATGATAAAATAAAATGAATGAATATCAATTGGATTAAAAATGAATGCGATTTGAGCAAATGGACAATCCGATGGATTTTTTTTTTTTTTCGATTTTTAGATAAATGTAGAAAAAAAAGGAAGAAAAATTAGTATGGAATTTATCTTTTATGACAAAAAATTTTGATTCATTGAGATCATCGTTATCTTTTTTTTTTTACTGCTATAAATTTAGTATGAATTGTTTCTTTTTTTCTTCTTTGGAATTAGATTAAAAATTAGCACTTATCATTTGTTAGATAAGTTAATATTTGAGGAGAATTTGAATTCTAGCCATTAAATAACAATTGCTGCAATTATTATCTTTTTTAGATAATAAATTATCAAACCTGAAATTCTTTCCATAGAATATCTCTTAATTCTTGCATATCCCAGTTAATTGTGCCCTTTGTTCGTATCCGCCAATAAAGGCTTTTCTTTATTTTTGCTAATAGATTACCATCTTTGCCGATATTTTTCTCTCGAATCAATTCACTAATACATCTTCTCAGATCAATTTCTAATTTCATCCATTTCCTGTCATCATCATTTGATGATGATCTTTCCTTGTCTTTTTCAGATATTCCCAATTTAACATTATTCGAGTTTTTCCATAGGTTTGTTTTCCATCTTATACGATCAATATATTCAACTAATGATTTCAAATCATCTATTGATTGATAGATGATGAAGCTATCACCACAATTTGATGGCAATTCCATTTGTTGATGAATTTTTCGAATGGTTGATTCTGATATGCGACATCTTATAGGACGTTGCATATTCCGTGTTAGAGCTGTAGCAATTGGTACATCTACGAATACGACTAAATATGGAAGATGATACATTGTTGACATTCTACGAAAAGGCCTTCGCATACTTTTCAAGTAAAATATATCATCTATCACAATTACCGGTGGTACAATATCTTTAATCGTTAGCTGTGCTTTCAAGAATTCTCTTATCCGATTTTCACATCTTTTTCGTTCATTATGAACATTTGTACATTCATTCAAACCATACATTTTCAGTATACTTCCATTGGCACATTGTTCACCCCACATGTATTCCATGAAACCATCATCGTTGAAGATATCATCGTATGAAAAAGTGGAGCAAATTTCATCGCCAAGCTTCGCTTTCAATTCTCCGCACAAATATGTCTTGCCGGAACCAGGTATACCCATTAGCAGTACTATAGCCATTTCGTTGAGAATGCGACAATTATATTCTCTAAATCTCGAAAGAAAAAACAGTAAAAAGCTAAAAGTTTTTTATATTTTCCCATATGCACATATGCACTATATGCACCAGAAAACGTCTCAGAAAAAGGAGATAGATTTTGACCACATGCCAATTGACTCAGTTCCTAATACCTAAAACCTATTTATAATGTTTTTTCTTATCACCATTTTCAGCATATAACTCAAGTCTGTTAATAAATATGCACTGATCTTTATGAACAAAAAATACCCTATAGTCTCCTGACTTGAATTGTACAGCTCTTACACTGGACTTTTAAATAGTACAAATTTATGATACCAAAAAAATAGGCAATACAATAATGATAAAGAGTAGATAAAAAAATAAAATCATTTTTGCAAACAATTGTAAAAACAATTTTTCATAATCAGAATCCATTACTGTAATTTACGAGATATCTCTTAAATAGCAACAACAACAACTTCGCAATGTTCTTTTATGCCGCATCACCAAGTATCGCAAATAATTCATTCCAATTTTCTTTCAATTAGCTCGTCCCTCAACTGAAATTCAAAGCATTTTTTATTCTAATCAAATAGCATATTTGAAGCAGAAAATAGGACAAAATCAGAAATATGATGGAAAAATAAACCTAATCTAACTACATTTCGCTACATCTTCATAAAAAAGGGACCAATCTAATCCTCACTGCGTTATATATTAAATTGGAATTCGAAAGAAAGCTTAAAAGGAAAACTCACTGTATGTTGCGACTTCGATTTCAGCTGGCAATTCAGTAACATTCACATCAAACCTGTCCTGTACATCATTTAGAATTTTTGCATCATTTTCATCTGAGACAAACGTTATCGCCAATCCTTTGGTACCGAAACGTCCAGCACGTGCCACCTTCAATTCAATAGTTTAATGCTATCTTCTTAAATTCATTTATCAAATGATATGCAAAACTTCAGAATCCAGATAATGAACTAATTTAAAAAATTTGGTGCTGCTATTTTAAGAACAAATCTGCTAAGGAGCAAATCAAAATGAGCAAAAAAATTTACTCTATGCAAATATGTGTCTGAATCTTCTGGCATATCATAATTGAACACAATATTCACGCGTTCAATATCCATACCACGACCAAAAAGATTCGTTGCAACAAGAATACGCTTCTGGAAAAGCATTTTAAAGAACGGTATCACAACAGACCTTTCCATTTCATCAGTCATTAAATGCCTCAGTGGTAGTGACGAATGATGTAATTATCACCATTTTTATCAAAACACCATTTAATGCATCACTGGCAAAGTTTCAACTGGTAAAATTTGGCACCTATAAGTTGTATGATACCTGGAAATCTTTGAACTGCTGATATCGTGACAGACGTTCCTCTTGCGGCATACCACGATGAATTGCAATGCTTGGAAAATTTTGTTCGGATAGCAAAGTATGCAGAGCACCACAGCGCTGCACAGATCGCACAAAAATTACAACCTGAAATAGGCATTACAATTATGGCTGCACCGCAAAACGATTCCACTCATTCTATAATGACGTATGATCACTGCTAGTAGGAAAAAGTATTTTTAATGCTTTGAGCTATCGGAAAAAGCATAAAAGTTTCTTCCTTGACACAATATACATGTTTTGCTTCTATAGCTTTTCGTTTAAAACAAAGTTTACTTGATTGAATTCCAACTGATCAAGTAATTCAAGCAATTTTTTGTTTTTCTCAGTTTCCTTCAGTTTCACGTAATGCTGCTGTAATCCGTGTAATGTTAATTTTGCTTCATCATCGACATATACCTCCATCGGCTGAAAAATTTAGACTCATATAATTCGCACAAAATTAATTTAAAAGACCCAATAGATTACACATTACAGACATTGTCGTTACATTTTATGTAACTATTCGAAACCTGTCCATTTGAAATCGACTGACACAAATTACAAATTTTGTTTCATTTTTCGAAAAATCATTGTTTTAACGACAAGATGCTGTGTAAACTTCTAGTATTGAATGTCGTCACAGATTTCTGACTCACAGCATGATTTTATCACGGTTCAACATACCAGTCTGCGATCCAATCCAAAATCAATAAATTCACCTTGATTTTAGGTCTATTGTTTACTACCTAGGTTAAAAATTTCTTCTATGTTAAAAATAAATATAGCCGAGTGCCTGCTTCGGTTCGTATTAAAAAAAACGCAAGGCTTTCCACATCACGAATATAAATTACTGCAAAATTGCTGCGCCAAAATTTTTCATCTGGCACATGCAACGCCATACGAGGTGCTCAATGTCGAATCCTTCTTCAGGAGTAGATCTCGGAAGGAAACCTGAAACTTAGTGTGGATTTTAAATTGAATGAATGAGCACTATGGTAAAAAGCAGTAGTTCGAATTTCATAAAAAAAGCGCATCATGTCGCGAACACTTATTTCAAAAAATAATCCCATTCAGAAATATGTAGCAATTTTTGGTCTCCTTTCCTCAATAAATGTAGTGTTCAACAAGAACATTATAATTCATATGAATGTAACAAGATAATGAAAATAGCTTACCTTCCAGAAAATCCACTCCGCAATCCAATTATAATGTATTCAAATGGGGAGCCATGAGATAATAATATTTAAGGGAAAAGGGTTAAACGCACTTTAGTAGCGTTTAGGGGAAAGCCGTTGCAATAGCTCCAACGGAAGCAAAAGCGCAAAGCTCTTCGCGTAATTTTTCTGGCGTGAATTTAATACACAGCGGCAAGATTTACGTATCCATCAGCAACCAGCTGGTATTCACATGATATCCCATCAAAGCGTATGGTATACAGATGTGTGTATGTGTGTGTGTTGCTGCTTGCACCATAAAATCTTACATCTTGCATGAATTTTTTGCAGACCACTCGCAAATCCCTTGGTAACGTAGCGCTGAACATCATCACTTGTTTCTCTTGTGGCGTCATTTTCACAATTTCTTGAACGTCTCGTCGCATATCTAAAATTAAACCCTATCATATATTGTGAAATGATACATGATGCTGACCATCCACTTCAGACATCGATAAAAAAAAAGACCCACCATTATCACCAATCATTTTGTCGCATTCATCCAAAACAAAATATTTGATATTTTTCAATTTCAAGCTTCCTTGACGTGCCAGTTGCAGGGTACGTCCGGGAGTTCCAACAACGATATGCGGTGTATTGTTTTTAAGTGTCTCTTCATCCTTTTTGATTGGTATGCCACCAAAGAATACAGCAATTCGAACACCAGGAATGTATTTGCTGAATCGCTCGTATTCCTTCGAAATCTGGAACGCCAGCTCACGCGTATGACACATTACCAGAACAGACACCTGTAAAAGAAAAATGCTTCCTCGATGCCAAGACAATGAGCTTAAACAGGGAAACTTAAAATGTTCATGTTTTTTAATTCTCTCTCAAAGCAAATATCATGCAAATTCTATAACCATGGTCATGAAATTGTTCGATATTAATATCAGCTTTTAATATCAAATTTTCTTGCAAGAAGTGACCATTTTCACACGGCAAAACATGCGACATACCTCACCATCGACAGATTCAAGTTGTTGTAAAGTTGCCAAAACAAATACAGCTGTTTTGCCCATTCCTGACTTTGCTTGACAAACAATATCCATGCCCAAAATAGCCTGCGGAATGCATTCATGTTGTACTGAAATTTCATACATAATTATCTGACTCGCATTGAAATCAAAAGCGTGTTGCGCATAATTGTTGTTCGTACCACGCACAACAAAAGACCAAGATTAATTTGGATGAAGCATTCCCGAACAACTTGAAATAATATCCATACTTATCGACGGCAAACAAATAGCTGAAATATACCTTCCGAAGGATGTTCGAAACCACAATCCACAATTGCCCGCAGCAGTTCTGGTTTCAAAAGAAAATCCCGGAAACCACTGCTGTGAATAGAAGCGTAAGTACCCTGAAATAAATAAACATTCGTAAATCTTTCTCACTCACTGTTTCATCAAGTCCATATTATTTGATCGATAACTATCCATAGTTTTTTTCATTACATACTAGCATAAGGTTTTTTAAAAAATACTTGGTGCAATAATTATACAACTGTCCGCACTAATAATGAGTGACATAGAATTCTAACCAAATTTAATTCCAAAACCTGATTAAATTTAGGATTGAACCAACCTAAAATCTCGCTCAAATCTGCTAGATTTTGTCCGTTTTAAAACAATCGTGGATGATAGCTTAAAAACTTGGAAGGAAAAAAGATACCTTGATTTTTTTATCCGTTGCTGATCCATTTTCCGCTTTGTTACCATCAGTTGCTTCTTCTTGCTCTTCCTCATAGTCCAGCAATTGATCTTCGTCCATTATTCCTTCTTTAATATTATTTTAAATCAGTCAGATGATTCGATCAACGTAAACAGACTTGTTATCTATCTATAAACTTCTTCTTGATATAACATTATGAGAAAATGCGAAAAATTCAAGATAATAAAGACAATGCGATACAACCTTACGTGAAAACACGAAAAAACCGCTCAACACTACTACCAAACAAACAAACAACCAACTAAACAATTATCCACAACCTAAATAAACCACAACAGGAAAAGTGTCAACTATCGATTTTTTATGCAACTCTGACACAGTTGACTGAGCGTAATGCAACGGTCACATCCCAGCAAATAAATTTTCAAAACATTGAAGCCACAAGTGAAGCAATCGTCTTCCAATTTTTATATTCATACGTTTTGCTCACTAAAAGTTAAATTCATAGTACTCTAACTATAGCAATGAGCATTATTAGAAATAATAGATAATCTCAACAAATGGTTATCTACATATTACAATTTAAATGCTCGATTTGTTTTTTCCTAATGCACCGCACTGATAAACGAGTTGAAAATTTAAAAAAAAACCCAAATATCATTAAACCTAGTTTTTAGCAAATACAACAGAAAATTAAACCACCCCTGTAAAGCTTAGACATCGAATACAGGCAAATATTCATCCTAATGTCTAGAAACTATTCGCGAAACGAGAAATGAAAAAATCTAAACGCTCAAAATTCTTGTGGAAATAATAAAATAAATGAAACAAACGTTTCTGATTATTTCACATATCCGATAATATCATTCAGACGAATAGATAGCCCTGACAATTCTAACTGTTTTCTTCCTACTCTATTTATTCCTTCTCTTATAGTTCAACAATTATTATAGTACCATTAAGAATGCTAACACACTGTATTTAGTATTTAAGGATAGATATTAGGTAAAAAACTGATGTCATATCTTTGTTGTTACCAACGAGAACCAATTATTTCTTTTATTTCATCATTATGAACCAAAACACATTATATAAAAAGAATAACGATCATTCGAACGTTTTACGGAGCAATCTCATTCCGTGTCACCAACGTTCTTTTGTTGTAAATTAAATTATAAAGGAGACAAAAACAAAGAAAACAAAGAATGAAAGTAGAGATGCGATAACAAAAGGGAACAATGTTTTTTTCACCATAAAAACAAACATTCACGAAATATAAATTAAAATGAAACTCAATATTTATTTTGCCTACAAAATTTTAAATCAAAAATCATGTGAAAGTAAATCCTAAAGTTCTGTATGTTCGATATATTTTCTCGATCGAATTTGCATATGCTGCTGTACGAATATCCAAATCTAAGTTGTATTTGTGCGCTGTAGCTATCACAGCTTTTGCTGAAAAAGTGAAGAAATTTTTTTTCGTATTTGAAAAATTTACATTTTTTATGCTTCTTTACAGCGAACACATGTTACCTGAACGTTGCATTGAATATTCTAAGCCTGAATTCACAATATCCTTTTCTGATGCACCCGCAATACGATTTTTGAATTCAACTGTTGGCTCAATTTTCACATCCTTGTTGAGTGACCGTTTCAGCGATTCTTGTACACTGTCTTAAAAACAAAAAAAAAATTGCAGAGTTTTCTAAATCCCAAAAAATTAAAACTTGCTATTAAAAAAATAATAAAATCACGATTGTGTTCACATAGTTTACAGTTTATGCATTATCAATGAGATGGCGGGTGAAATTTTAATAAACCGATAGTAAGGCTTCTCACTATTTGCGGTACTGATTCGAGAAGAGTTACGAAAAACCTCAAATACTTCACCACACTGTCATTATGAAACTGCATTTTTAACAAATAACAATTAAAATGACCAACATAATGTTCTAGAAATTTTAATTTACCATAGAAAAAAAGTACCAAGCAGATGATAATTGGAATCTTTTTCATGTTTGAATGTCAAACGTCCGAAACTGACATGATTCAAATTCTTCAACCACTCAAAATAAGAGACTGTAACACCGCCTGCATTTACGAACAAATCTGGTACGATTAGACAGTCACCACGAGCCAACAGTATTTTGTCACCGGCAGGGGTTGTTGGTCCATTAGCTGCTTCCGCTATTATCTGGAAAAATATCACTCGGTAATTTGAAAAAAAAATTGCCTCTCAATTTAACATATTCTTAAATGTTGTAATTTGCTTCCAAAATAAAAAAATGCTGTTAATGCGAAACGGTGTTACTTTAGCCTGGATTTTTCCAGCATTCTCCTTATGAATAACTTTCTCGCACGCAGCTGGTACAAATATATCGCATTTTTCGTACATAAGATCCGTGAATGGTTCATATGCTCTCGCTTTTGGAAAACCCTGGAATGAAATTAATCGAAGAAACAATACAGAAATAAAAATATATAAAACTAACAATGTTTTCCTCAGAGTAAATCATTCTGTAGTCGGACAACCAACCTCAAAGATTACACAAGGGTGGAAAAGTATCACGTATCTGTAAAAACTTTCTGGAAAATTTCTAATATCAACTGCTTTAATTTCATTTTTCCCATTTTTTAAGCAAAACGACGGGGAATGTTTTTATTAACCTAAGACAACCATAAATCTTTCTCATTTTACCTAAATATTTTCAAAACAATATGCTCTCTATACTTTTCAACTAAAGTTTTCCAAATGGAATATTAATAGTATTATCACTTTACTTTCTACAACTTTCCTATCAAGATCGATTCATCCCACACTCTCTTTTTACTCAATAATTGGTATATTGTTTTTCAATCGATAATAAAATATGTAAAGCTAGGATACTCTGATAGTGCCATGTTCAATGAGATAGTCTTCCAATTCTCGTGGATGAATCCCATCTGGATTATAAATAGAACAATTAAATTCCTGTATACCAATACATTTTGCTCCTGATCGATGGAAGTAGCGAGTAGTATGCAAACCAACATTTCCGAATCCCTGGAATAGTAAAATATCATTAAATTTTAAAGCCTTCAAATTATAGCAAGTAAAAAGAAATCGATTAAATATGATCCTATATTTAATCGATTCTTTATTTTCTTGCTGTAATTTGATTTCAAAATTTTAAATCATTGGAAATGATTGAACGAGAGATAAAAGTTACCTGTATGATAAATGTTTTTCCCTCGTATCCAGGTGTCAATCCTATTCGTGACATATATTCCTCATTATTTAAGAATACTTCTAGACCTTTCCATACCCCTCGTCCGGTAGCTGATGTACGCCCGTGTATTCCTAAATCATGGAATATACATTCAGTAACTACAAATGCAGTCCAATTTTGGAGAATAAAATAAAACATGAAAAAATATAAAAAGCTGTTACCTCCAGCTACGATTGGTTTCCCAGTAACACAAGCTGATGCATCATTTTCCCCATGTCCTATAGTTTGAGCATATGTGTCCGCAATCCATCCCATTTCTCGTTCACCGGTTCCCATGTCCGGAGCTGGAACATCAACACCTGGTCCCAAAAATCCTTTCTTGGCAAATTCGATTGCAACGCGACGTGTAATTTTCTCGATTTCGTATTCCGTATATTTTTTTGGGTCAATTTTCACACCACCTGAGAAAATTTTTGATTTACCCAATATTTAAAAATTCGTCCAAAATTTTTTAAAAAGAATTCTGATCTGCACATTTTGAATTACTGCTTCGAATTTTAGTTCCAATTATGATATATTTTTTTTCTGAAAAAAAAAGCATTCATGATATATTTCTGAAATCATCCAATTTTTAATAATATGCTAAATTTTCTCTTAATTCGTAGATAACAATGATAAAACATAGCAAATTCGAACCTTTAGCTCCACCAAACGGCACATCAGAAACGGAACATTTGTATGTCATTAATGCAGATAAAGCTCGTACTTCATCCTCACAAACATCTGGTGCATATCGGATACCTCCTTTGGTAGGAGTACGATGTTCACTATGCTGCGCTCTCCAGGCTTCTATCATTTTGTATTGACCATTATCAAGGCGAATTGGAAATGTTACGTACAAAACCTGAAATTCTCCGTTAACCGACACTGAGCTGATATTTCTTTAATCCAAGATTAAAGATTGAAAGCAACGAAATTACTTGTTAGGAATTCTTACGGTGATAAAATTACTTCACTGATCTGTAACGGTAATTAGCTTGTAACGGTAATTTTTCTTTAAGGTAATATAACATTTTCTCCTATGTAACTGACATCTGTCAATTTTTTTTTTAACTGTTTTCATCTCCGGCTGATACAAGTGACGCTGGGTATCAATCCACTTGAAAACTTTCAGATTAATATTGAAAGTTAAAGGAAGAAAGTATCATCACTGGTAACACTTAGCTGAGATTGGTACATATTAATTTTGAATTTCATACTTAAAAAAAGTGCCTCTCCACTTCCCTTTCTTAGCTTAAATCGCTTGTAAGAATATGAGAAATCGGAAGTGTCACAAACATCGGTCGAAATGAAAATAAAAAAAAAATTTACAGCTATCATTTATATTACAGGGGAAAATGCTATATTACCTTAAGGAAAAATTTTTTTCCACCGACAATATCAAACATATAATTATATAATTATTTCATAAAAAAATAATGGCGCAACTTTTTCCCAATTTTATTTTTTTATTGTATAAAAATAAACTCTATTTGGAATGACAAATGCAATGTAAATCGATGAAAATAAACCACACTGATTTATAGATGCAGTACAAATCATTCTTATTGATCGTAATAAGAATGATTTGTACTGCATCTATAAATTAAGGATGAAATATCCAAAAATAAAAATAAAATGAAATGAGCCACAAAGATCAAATATTTTATCTACCATATGTAATTAACTGCTAAAACAAATGACTCATATATTTTTGAAGTTAGCCATTAAATACTAACTCACTTTACCTTGTTTGCAGGTTTGATAGCATGTAAAATTCCTTTTACTAAATTTTCCTTCTCTGCTGCGGCCATCTGTGGTGACTTTATTTCATCAACAAGTTTCGGTAGGATAATCTGTGATCCCTTATCAAAGTAATATTCTACCATCTATAAAAAAAAAATACATACGACATGATAATAGTCAAGAATGTATATCAATATAATTCCAAATAAGACACTAACTTACATTACTGTTTATCGAATGCACTGCACTGAAATTTCCAATATACCTAGGACAAAATGAATCCAGAAAATAATACCTTGAAGAAGGAAGGATTAATTTGCTCATCCATCGGAAGCTTCGAATCATTCAGTTGAGCATGACCGCCCATCTTAGGTGGCGTAGCCAAATATCGTAAGTTAAAGGTAACAAATCGCGTTATATTTCGGGAATGTAACGATAGCATTGTTTAAAGAATTCCTGCAACAAATGATATATCACTTATACTGAAATATAAAAAATCCATTCCTTTAAATTCCGTAAAAATGAGCGGAAAAGACGGAAATATAAGCAGAAGTTTTTGATGAGTTCGATTTAATTTTCGTTTCGCTCTTTTTTTTAATTTTCATTTTTATTCTTCGCTCTTATTCAATTTATATTTTTTATTTCCTTTTTCGCTTTTTGCTATATAACTTGCAATTTCTTTTCTTAGCTGTCAGTACAGAGAAAAAAAATTTGTTTTTGATTTTCTCCACCAGATATTTTTTAGAATTAATTTAATTTTTTATTGAGTTGAGAAAAAAATGCTTCTAAGAACCTAAACTCTATAACATTTAAAATAATCTTCCAGAACTTTTCAAATTTCATTTCACTGGAAGAATGACCAGAAAATAGAAAACTGTAACTGAGGAAATCGAGATTTTCCTACACAGTTTATAAATTAACATTTTTTTTCCTCTCCACTACATATTACAGTTTCACAACAAATTACAGTTCTTTTTTATACCAAAAAAATTGAATTTCTTCAGAGTTTAAATTAAAATTAAAGAGCGAAAAAGATGAGTGGTGCTGGCGGCTCATTTTGACATCAATTATTTATGACAAGTTGAGCAGATCAAGCATATTTATCAATGATGTGTAAAAAAATTCAATCAAAATACCAAAAAAGGCAATATTTTGTGATCGCTACGAAAGATTATTTTTAATTACGAACAATTTCAATTATTAATTTTAAAACGAAAAAGCCTTAGATGCTGGAAAAATTGGAGTTATACAAGAGAAAAAAAGTGCAACAGTAACTGCTAATTATTTAAAAATAGGAAATTCTAATAATTTTCATACTAATTTCAGAAATTTTAAAGCTGAGTCAATGAATCAAAGTGAATGAAAAAAAAAAAACCGTGGAGAGGTTTCATAAACATTCATTAACCTTTTCCAATCCTTTCAATCTTTTGATAAATTATTTTTTTTGCTATTAAGTTACTTTTCTACTCCACTAGCAAAATAAGAAAAAAAAATTATTGCATGTTAATTCATCGACAATATGATGATATTATATCACAATTTCAAAGTAACCTTTAACAACGAAAACCTAATGATGAATATTTCGCACTAAAAAAGAAGGAAGTTTAAATTCAACAATTTGACAATTGACATGTGATAATGATCTTTGCTCGAAAAACTCATCCATTTCATAATCAATTTATTCATTTTATACATTGATAGAATAAAAAATTTTTCATTCAGAAAATCTATTCGCTCGTAAAACTGCGAGTAATTATTCAGAAATGCGAGAAATTTACACGAGAAGGAGTGGAAAGAATAAAAATATTATAATTACGGTGAAAAATATGTATTATCGATTTGATGCATTTCATCTACTAAGTTTAATTCATTAGTAGAATAGGTGAAAAAGTTGCTAAATAGGAATGAAAAAAATTTTAAGCTTAATCCAAGATATTTACATAAAAGCTTTTTGGCTTTAATATTTTCCACAAATGTTTCACTGGGAGTGAGATAAATGAAAAAAAAAATACAAAGAAATTAAAGATGAATGAAATGAGACAACGCTGAATAAAAAAAATGATTTCAAAAATCAAAAAACTTATAGAAATCAAAAATCAAAAACTTATAAAAAATTATCGAATATATAAGAAATATATACATATTACTACTGATCTTACCCAATCACTTAACATTCTCTTTAATTCATTCAAAAAATCTAATAGGTTTTGATCAAATTTTGATTATTCCCGTAATTTATGTTCAAATAGACTTCAGAGAAGAATTAAATGAATGTACTCTGAAAACTCTATCCTTTCCACAATATTCTCAAATATATTACAAGCAGAATTTTATCAAATTTTGATTCAAAATAGATGATTGCATATTGATGATGAGCAGATTAAAGGTTAAAGGTTATCTTTTCAACTAATCTATCTACCGCAAAAGGTATTGCGCTAATTCTTGCATCAATATTGCGATCATTTAATAACAACATTGCTCCTAATGAAGCCATCAGCACGAATACACATGTAATTTTTACTTCCATCCGTGAAAAAGAAATTAATTAATAAATTATACATTTTGTTCATTGAAATCAATAACGACAGGAGAGCAAATAAAAAGTAAAGAGGTCATTCCGATCCGTAAAATGTCCTTTATTGCTCGAAGGAAAATGGAGTGAAAGAGGAGGAAAATTTTTGATCTTTGATTTACCAAAAGTAAAATATTTAAGATCAATCTCATCAATTTTCCCTCCCCTCCCTTTTCCTCTGCCTCTCCCTCCCTCTCCCTCTCTCTCTCTCCTTCTCTCTTTATCCCTCTCACTCCGTTTAATCAGTCCGAAACAACAATAGCATTGCAATTTCACGGCGTTCCTAAAATTCAATCCGGAATGAGACAAATTGATGGGTGGATCATTTGTGGAAGAAGAGAGGTAGAGAAGAGGAGAATGGGAGATGGATTAAAATACAATTGGATAGAAGCATTGTGAAAATAGTAAACAGTTTAATGAAAATATAATGACAGAGTAAAAGAGGAATGAAATTTTGTAAAATAATATGAAATGAAAGCGGGAAAAAAAGAAAACATTCGAAATGTATGAGAAATGTCGAAAATTTATTTCATAAAAAAGAAAAAAGTGCTATATACTATGCTTATATGATCATCGATTCATTTCTCCTATTACAACGTCTGATGAATTTGATATTGCAAAAAAAAAAAAATGTTTTAAAGATTGTAATGGCAGTATTTTAAGTAGTTATAGACTCCAAGCATTTCATAAAAATAAAGAGGATTAGTATTAATGCTGATCGTTATCACTGATAACAATCATTTGCATACATTGCGAAAGCATAGCCATCATGTAATGATAATTCTCTCCTGTAATACCTTCGATAATTGTTTGCTTTCTTTGGTTTTTTTTTTTTTGTTATCTGATAAGAATAGTGCTATTGATTTTTTTTTGATAACAAAGCTATAAGAAATCTAAGGGTTCTAAAGTTACATCTCATGATAAATCTCATCTCATGATGAATAAGAATACACAAAATGCTCCTATAAATATGAAGGAAAAAAAAGAGATGAGAGCGAAATTCATGATATCATTGCAGCATAATGACATCTGGAATTTTTTTTTTTTTTTGTTAAGCAGTTGCAGGACTAAAAAAATGCAAGCATTTCGCATTTATCTGTTTTTGTTAAATTCCATTATTTCAGGATAGTTTAAGAAGAGGTATATTTAGGTATGTCCCTCTTCATTCTCTTCATTTCATGTGCGTGTGTGCGTGTGTGTATGCGTGTGTGTATGCGTGTGTGTATGCGTGTGTGTATGCGTGTGTGTATG